TGCTTCACTTCTTTGTTTAGCTTGTCAACAGTCGGTCTCTGTTGTGCTATATGTGTCCTCCCCGCCCGCAGCGCAGACATCTGAGTTTCAACGGATTTTTCCGCATCAAAGTAATAACAACAAAAGAGTAATGTTGCATCATGAACAGCTTATCTGTTTCTGCACCAACATGGGGCGAGTCTTCATCCTCCAACATGAGCGCTGAGCAACGTTTCCCCCCCTCAGTTTTAGTTAACACAGTATGTTAGCTGGGTGTGTGTGTGTGTGTGTGTGTGTGTGTGTGTGGGTGTGTGGGTGTGTGGGTGTGTGTGTGTGTGTGTGCAACTTTGAGGAGAGGATTGCTGAGACAGCAGGTTGGCCTGTGCCTGGCAAAGTGGGCCATTAACCCACCGCCCTGAGGTGTGACCCGGGCCAAATCCAATATTGGCTCCAGCATCAAGGCACAGGTGCCACTCAGGGTTCAAAGCCACAGATCAGCAAGAACCCCCCCCCCAACACCACCACCACCAATCGACCCCCCGACCCCCTTTTCTCCTCTCAAACAATAAAGGACTGAATGTAAATTCCTCAAGACGCCTACAAGCATCGCTGCTGCCGCTGCACAATTGACGACAGGGAGTCAGAAGTGGAGAGAGAGTGAGAAAGAGAAAGAGGGGGACATCATACATTATTAATCAAAAGTAAATTTAGCAAAACGGGATTTCATGTTAGTCCTCTCAAGCTCGAGGTGATTGTTGCTGGTCATCGGAGACGTGAACATGAAAGTGTGACCTGTCGACTTTGTCCTTCTATGCAGAAATTCAGATTTCCTCCGTAACTCTGAGAATCATATATTATCATATCGATAATATATTTTGAGGCGTTATCCTTTAGATATTCTTGTGTGTTTGTCAGAGAATCATAATAACATCTCTAAATATTGACTAGTTCCATCATGTATAAGTAACCCTATTACATTAAAGTTGCTTACACCATGACTTCAATACTGTTGACTCATGGTTGGACCATTTATACATCTTTTTTTTCAAATAACACTCGCATTTATTTTCCAGATTCCCAGTCAGAATGGGCATATGTGTAATCTGTTTACTGACATCTGTCACACAACAGTCTATTATCCTAATTGTCAGCTACCCAAACACACTCAGGCGTTCTCTTTATGAACATGTGTGTGTGGTAAACCATGAAACATGGTGTGTAAAGTCATGTGTCCGGCCACTTGGCACGTTGTCATGTGTGTCAACAAAACGTGGCTGAAGACCAGGACATTATTACAGACGAATTATCCCCCTCCTCTCCTCAGGATCCATCCCTCTCGGTTTTTCTCTCTGTCCCCCGCTCCAAACAAGTCAAATGTCTGAAGAGATGTATCGAAGTATCCCTGCGCGTTCTGTACGATGGATATGTCATGTGACATAATGCCTCGGAGCGGCCATCACAGATAAAACGACAGATGCTGTTTTTTGCCTCATGGATCCCTCTTGGCCAAGCTGACTTTGAGTCTTCTTTTTAGAGTAAGCTTTAGATTTCAGGTTCATTTTAGTTTGATTTTAGATATTTATAGAATGTCTTTGTTGTGTCTTATAACCTATTGGGATGACACAGATGATATACTTTGAGGGGTTGTCTGGATAATTGATAAATACAATTGATAATCTCTCTAAATATTGGCAATATCCATGATTTATGAGTAACCTTTTTGTATTGAAGTTGCTCACTGTGACCTTACACACTGCCATCTTGTTTCTCGTTGAGTCTCAGACACACTTGCTGTGTAATTGCCGGCGACAGGGAAAGCGTCGTTGTTGATGTCTCGCTTTCCCTTTTTTAACTGACACTCAGCCATCTGCTTTTTGTATCGTCGTTCCTCCTCCACTCCATGCATGTGTGTGCTGGCGAGAGCGATCGGTCTCCGTAGAAACCAACAACAACAACAACAACAACAACATGCCCGTGTTTGTGTTGCTGGCATGTGGAGGACATATAAAGACGGAGAGTGAATTCCTGGACTGACCTTTCTGCCTGTATTTGGATCACTTACGGCAGCCTCTGTGCCCGAAGGGTGTGATGCATTCTGGGAGATGTGGCACACTACCTGACCAGAGATATCTGGATATATTCTTTGTCTCACAGGATATGTTTTACTTTAAATTTCAAGCTACTGTCCACCGTTTTCTTTATGTAAAGAGTACACTAGGTTTAGTAGATTGGTATATGAGGGAGTATTCTAATTTATTCTGTATATTTTATACTGTAGATACTCCTCTGAATATAAGTATTTTTTTACTGTGAATATGTTGTTTTTATATTCTTTAACTTCTAATTTTCTTCTATTTTTAAGATTTTTTTGAATTTTTGTCGATTGACTGTGAACATGCTGCTGTGACAAAAACAATGTCTCAACATGTGATAAATAAAGTATCTATCTATCTACCCTCCACCTGCCTGTGGCTACTGCTGCCCATCCGTCCAGGTGGATGGATGGCTTTGATTGGTTCAGTCTGTCGCCCCGGTTACTTGTGAGTGGCAGTAATTGGCATGGCAGTCGGCAGGCCCATCTTTCACATGTGGTCAGCCATCATCGAGCTGATTGGGCCGCGGTCGCCCCCCCCCAAAGGGAGGGCTGGTGTGCCCTGGGGGCGGGGCATAGAGAGCCTGTTAGCATGTTAGCATAACTGACCAGAGACCAGTGCTGGACTGATTGTAGTTAATGCCTGGAAATCAGCCAAGGCCAACGTCCACACATTTAAATCAGTTATACTCTGTAACCTTGATGTTAGAGGGGTCCTATTATGATCATTTTACGGTATTTGTATTTAATGCCTCCACTGTGACATGTCTCCATGCTTTAATGTTCAAAAAGCTCTTTATTTTTCTCATACTGCCTGTGCTGCAGCACCTCTTTTCACCCTCTGTCTGAAACCAGAGCCCAGTCTGCTCTGATTGGTTAGCTGGACGTCTCTGTTGTGATTGGTCAATCGCTAAGAGATGTCCCGCGCTAGCCAATAGAAGCTAACATACGTAGATGGTGCATATATGTTTGTTTAACACACAAAAGTTTTAACATCATATGCCAAGAACAATTTATTTGATGAGGAAAACTATTTTCTTTTGTGTCTAAATCTCTGGCCTGTGACAATCTGTGGATAACAATTAAAGCAGCTGCATTCAGCTAGTTTGACAACATTTCAACATTAATGTCAAGAGCAATTGATATGATTAGGAAACTGTACATTTTGTAGCAGTATCTGATTACCACTGGCCTGATACTTCAAACAAATCACTGATAATGTCCATTTAATCAGCTGACAGCATTTAAAGCTACTGTAGGTGTACTGTAGTTTACTGTCATTGGGGGGAACAGTATCCTGGCTACTCTCACTCACCATGCCGGGGTCAGAGAGTGTACCGAAGGAAATTTGAGACAAAGTTCGGTCATAGTGTACACAAAGTCAAGCGCACAAGGGGGTGGCTGCTGGAGGGACTTTGGTTTTGTTCTTGTAAATCCATAGCCGTCATATGTTTGCAATTAAAGCCTGTCTGTACTGTGTGTTTACAGAGCGGTGCAATCAATGTAATTGTGAGAGGGTGTTCCTGACTGAGACGTCTGTCTTATTTCTCTCTGTCTGGGTTCAAGTGGGCACTCGCTGGATTGTTGTTCCCAGTGTTTCTCATTTCCAAATGTAAATGCATCCCTTGATTTGTATCAGCCTCTGTATACACTCCCTTTCTGTCTCATTTTTCCTGGATCAAATACAAACAACCAGGACTCCATTTCAAGAGTCAGACGTCAGCTCAGATCTATGTCGGCAGCGTGGTTCAGTCAGAGGGAAATCTGTTCATTTACAAGAGGATGTCAAGAAACATGGAACAAGCTTAAATAACAATGATGTCTTCCCTTTACTTAGCTTTTCTCTGCCTCAGTTTGTTCAAGAAAAAACAACTGCTGCACCTGAAGATCTGGACGTTATTATATTATCCGTTTGATCTCGCTCTGCATCAGGCATAACTTTACTTAATTGGAGGTGTGTACTTTGTTAGAGGCCACAACATTCCTTACTATTGAAACTGTCAATGTGTTAGCCATTCAACAACAATTACTTCATTTATAGGAAATGGGAAACATCGTTTTTTGCTCACTTCTGAACTGTTTCTATGCTTCACCATGGAAACTAAACCCTTGGCTGTGCCACACAGACAAAGATTTTTTTTCTTCCTCTCAAGGCAAACTGAGGACAACCTGCCTGAAGAGAGAGTGCACGATGAATCTTCTTTATAAAGGAGAAATTGAAATTAGCAAAACCCAAACAAGTCACCAGTCATTTGATATTTCTGATAAAGAGCATAAGCACAAAAGCGTGATACATGAAGGCTCAATGAATGGTTGCTGCAGTCATCAGTTGCAGAGCAGAGGGATGAGTGTGTTGTCTGATCATCACTGTACCATTGTTGATAGCCGCTGTTGAAAATCAAGCACCTTCTCAGAATCTGAGTTTCTAAACGGATTCAAATTTGTGTAATTCTTCCATGTCGGAATTTTATTTCAAGTTTATGTCAAGCCACAAGCTCTGTGAGGCATATGTATTTGACACTATAATCACTGAAGACAATATGACCTTCTCACCTACATCTGATCCAGGATTTGATTTTAAGAATGCTAGTACACACAGTGCTGCTGTCTAACTGTATTACATCTTGGGACACTGTATCTTGATTTGATGATAACAATTAATATTCACTGTTCAAAACATGGTTAGGCTCAGGTATGGTAGGTTGATTCATAGTGTTTCTCAAAAGGTTGACCTACAATCTTTGAGCAAATGTTCATTTGGTTTAGCAGTTTTGGCGTTGAAGCAGTGGACGCATTGTGCAGCATTGTTTCTTGAACCCTTGTCAAGAATTTAGGGCAATAATAACCCTTGAAACGATGGATTTCGAAATGTAAAGAAACCAGTGTTTGATCCCCCATCTCACCTTGTGCCCTCTGTCTTGTCTTGCAGGTGTCAGGCAGCTCGATGGGCTCCCCGTCCGGCTCCTCCGCCCCCTCCTCCTCGTCGCGTCAGTACGCACGGCAGCGCATCACACGCGTCAACCTCAGGGATTTAATCTTCTACATGGAGCAGGAGAGAGAGACCGCCCACTCCCTCCTCCTCTACCGCGCCCTGCTCAAGTAGCCTCAACCCCCCCCCCCCCCCCCCCCCCCCGCCACGTGCCTTCAGATCAGGTCTAATGATTCAGTGTCTCCATGTGTACTGTAGTGACGTTTCATGTAGCTTTTAATAAAAAGAGAGAGAAAGAAAAGTACAAAAATAAATCCATGTTTTAGATTCACAATGAGTAGTTAGGTCATTGAGTTTGAAGGCCATGCATACGGCGGCTGGCAGGTGCAAACGCGCTACAAAACAACCAAAAACATTTCCAACGCGCTGCAGTTTCAGAAACATAGCAAATATAAAACCAGCATTTAGAAAACATTCACCAACTTGACGAAACATGCGAAGCGCTTACTAAAAGCGCTGCATAAATGACACGCTGCAAGAAACCCAAAACCAAACGGAAACCAGGGGACACTAAAAAGTGACGCACACAACTAGGACCGGAGCGATTGTTGACATTCGGGGATTATAAAATGAGTCAACTGTCACTGTCGCAGAGTTGGTCTGTTTGATAATTGTGATTTGTCAGTATATTTGAAATGACTAGGTTAGCTACGTTAACTAGCTAGCTAACAGCAGATCTGCAATATGTGATCACATGTTTTAAATATGCTGATAAAACTTACATTTTAGGTGAGTTTCCATTGGCAGTCAGTTACAGTTGGCCAACTTTATTATCCCTGAATGTCAACAATCACTCCGGTCCCAGCTGTGTGCGTCACTTTTTAGTGTCCCCTGGTATCCGATGAGCTTCTTGCATCGTTTTGTGTTTGCAGCGTTGTGTTCATGCAGTGCTTTTAGTAAACACTGCGCTTGTGTTTCGTCAAGTTGATGTAGATGTTTCTTCATTTGCATGTGTTTTTGCACATTTGTGTATTTTTAATTGCAACGGAAATGTATTCTGACCGAGCACCTCTCGGCCACCGTACGTGTGAAATTCGTTGTGTTGGATTTGTAATAGGAAAAAAAGGGGTTTTAAATGTTGCAGGATATTTTTATTTAACATCGTTGGCATTAGCTTCAATAAACCACCTCAAAGTAAGGACTATTTTGGCAGAGATGAATACACCTCGATGCAGCCTACGATATTCTCCACGAGCTATTTGTTGAGCACAGTTCAATGAAAGTAGCTGAACTCATCAAATAAGAGATTTACGGATTTCTATAATGAGACATCGTTTTGATTCCAAATAACAGCACCACGTTCAATTTACTGTAGATCTTATTAAATTATTTTCCAGCATGTATATTTTGATTATCTTTGTAGGAAGAGGAATAACCCCCGTGTCAGTATTATGATGTTTTGTAAAATGAGAATTAGACTGTTATGACACAAAGTCCCCGTGACCTTTCTGAAAAAGGTCATTAAACAAAATGATAGTCGCACTATGACACATGTTTCTGATTGGTCACCCTTGTCAGTATATTTTAATTTACCCTCACTGAATGTGAACTCTTTTTTTTACGACTAGATGTAGTGTAGTGTTCGCTCACTTCTTTAAACACTTAGAAGTTTGGTTATTATTGTGTGAAACCTCAGATCAAAAAAGACATTCCTTTATCTTCTCCTCTCGCTGTCCTACCTGCTCATAATTGGCATTTAATTTAAACAAAAAAGCAGCTCTTTTTCAGTGTTGCTAATGTGTCCTGATGTCCCCTTTAACCCCCTACCTACTTTGGTAATGACTGAATGAACAAAGCACTTCAACTTGTTCTTATTTTGATCCCAGATTAAACATCACTGCTGTAAATTTAATTGTAGAAGGAAGATGTTTATTCCAGCCTCAAATTAATTTGTAATATCCCAATTTGTTTCTATCTTTGTATAACTGACTGAAGAAAGGAAAGGGCCTGTCGTCTTGTTTTGTCGCCTTGTCATTTTTCTTTATTTTATCGTATTCTGTAATATTGTCAATGATGTACTTTTATGTTTTCTTTCTATTTAACTAAATCTCTTGGCCTCTATGCAGCTTTTCTTGTCATATTGAAATGTATTTAAATATTGGTGGCATTTTAAAGAATTGTTGTTCATGTTGACAGCACTTTTTTTACCTGACAACTCGAAGCTGTCGCTGCAACATAGCAAAGGAATTATTCATTTTAAATTGTAAACAGTTTTGCCAACTTCTGACAAAAGACAGTTATTTTTAACAATTGATATATTAATTTCCCCCTTTTTTTGATTGGCTTTTAAGCTCAGCATTCATATTTTCTATGTCCCAAATACCATGTTTTAAAAACAAGCACAACTATGATTATTGTGGTGACAAAAAAAAGATTTTATTAGTGATTTCTATTGTTTCTGTTTCACAGGAAGACATTTCTACTCTTATTATTACAGCTTTTTAGCCAAAATATTAGGATAATATTACTGATGTAAACAGACGGGGGAATCACATTTCAATGTAAGGATGATTTGTAAATATTGTTTACAAAACTATGTGTTTATTAGAACCACGTTATTTTTGGTAAACTCTTGTACATATCTTGAACAATTTCCTGTTTGTGTGAAAAACAATACTTATGTATTTGTACCTATTTTGTAAAGGAATAAATAAGCTGTTTACTAAACTGAGCACATGCTGACTTCTTTTGTTTAACAGCACTCACATAAAAAATACACTGACGGAGGCTTAAAGGTGGGGTAGGTAAGTTTGAGAAACCGGCTCGAGATACACTTTCTGTTATATTCCATGGAATGCTCTTAACATCCCGATAGCAATGAATATCTTAAGTGCTTGGACAAAAAATCCATTAAAAAATGTCCTCTGTGGAAGCCGTGGTACTGTAAAAAGCACGACCAATCATCTGAGCCGGCCCGGCTAAAATAACTGGATGGCCTACCTGCCTGTCAGCCTTCCATCTGTGCACAAACTTATCTCGTGCCCTCATTGGTCATGTGCGCGTTCGTGTGTGTTGGAGGAGGGGCTCTGTAAGGAAGTGGCAGATTTTCTCCGGTTGTGTATTTTCAAATTCTAGCGATCTCGAGCCGGTTTCTCAAACTTACTTACTTACCCTTAAGAGAGGTAGATAGTAATGAAGTACATTTACTGAAGTATCGTACGTCCATTTTGAGGTAATTATGCAACTTCATACTTCATTTTGGAGGCAAATTTATATAACCTTTATTTAACCAGATAAAAAAGCATTGAGATAAAATCTCATTTTCAATGCTGACCTGGCCAAGAAGGCAGCAACGTTACACATAACACATAACACAAACATATAAAATACAGAGAACATAACTAAGAAAACAAAAGACGAAAAGCAGTCACTACATTGTGCACATTAGGGACAGTAAGAAAGGTACACTACTTATTACTGCTAGAGCAGCTGGTGGTAAGGACCTCAGACAACTTCAATTTAAAACATGCTATTGAGAAAAGTGCTCTCAGTTTGAGGCTTGATTGAAGGTCATTCCAAGACCAAGGACCATAATAAAAAAGACTCCTTTTTCCAGCCTCAGTCCGCACGGCAGGAACCTGGAACCGTATCCAGGCACTGGATCTGAGGTTGTAAGAGTCACAATCTGGAGCAAATCTGGCACATATGTACAGTGGAAGCTTACCTAAAATGGCTTTATACATTAATAAAAACCAGTGCTGCATCCTACGCATACTAAGTGAGGACCATCCAGTTAGGCTATACAGTTTGCAATGATGAGTCCTATAGGGTGCATTTGATATATAACGCAGTGCAGCATGGTAGAGTGGGTCAAGTTTGGCCAAAACAGTGGGACAGGCAAATCTATAAATGGTATCACCGTAGTCCAGCTGGGACAGGAATAAGCCAGAGACCAACCTTTTACGGGATGAAGTTGAAAAACAACATTTAAGTCTGAAAAGTATTGTAAAATATTGTACTGTACATGTACCTGACAGCTGGTAATAGTGGAGATACCTTCAATGACTTTTTATACTGCAAGGTATTTTAATCCAGAATATTACGTATCATAATGCATTCATTCATTCATGAAAATAAATTCCCTCAAAGTAACTCATCTTGTCAAATAAATGTGGTGAGAAAAAAGCACAATGTTTGCTTCCTAAATGTAGTGGAGTTAAAGTTCAAAGTAGCCAAGTCAAGTACAAGTACCTCCCAAATGTACAGTACTCGGAGTAAATGTACTTAGTTACTTTCCACCTCTAATTTAACTGAATGAAAACACATCTTCCCACCTCTGAGTCTTAACAGGAATAAAGAAAATGGAAATTTCCCTGAAAGATGACTTCATCACTGAGCAACATTCCCCTCTTTCTATTCCTCACTCTTTAAAGGGAAAAGCTGTTATGTTTTTGCGAGACAGTTTTACTAAAGTCAACCTCTTATTCAGCCGTCTTCATTTCCATTTTTTAACATCGCACATGCTAAATACAAGCGCCGCTGCTCAACTATGAAAAGTCCCCCTAGGTTTCTGCTGCTAATTAAGCAGAAGCATTTTCGAAAAGACCAAACTGTTTAACTCGGTGCAAAATATTGGAGTTTGGGAGCATATTGGTTTTTCTCAAGATGTCGTCCTATTCCTCAGCCGCTGATCTGGATTCAGCCCTGAAGACCTTCTCGCTCTGAGAAAATAAACGCAGAGCCCCCATATGGTACAGTAAACTGGAGATATTTAACATATTTCATCAGTTCAATTACAGGACATTAAGAGATGCATTTACTGAACACAGCGACCACATACTGAGATGTAGATGAGGGCTTTCTTGGGAGTGTTTCTGAACATTGCGAGGGTCTAAGACAGGGGTGTCCACGTTTTCCATTTTGAATCGGCCCTCAGCAAATTCAAAACGTATAATGAAATATGGCCCAGAAATGAAACTTGAGCTTGTCTTGTATTGTACTTCTTAAATATATCTGTAAACAGATATTACACAGTACTGTTCATGTGTTAACAAGCCCACTTTCAGTCAATTAAAGTTGAAAATATGTTCTAACAAATCCAAGTTGATCAGAAAAAAGCCCAATAACTTATTTACATAGCAACCTTGAAATATACCCTTCCTATTTCCTCTTATGATAAGCAATCTAAGGTTT